TATATATATGTATATATATTATATTGTCCGGAAAGTTCGTGCCGCAAAAGATTTAAATTTAATAAATGAAATTAAAAATTTAAATCTTCTGCGTTTTAATTTTCCTTCAAAATCGGCACGAACTTTCTGGACAACTCAATACACGCACACACACACGCGCGCGCGCACACACACGCACGCACGCACGCACACACACACACACACACGCACACACACACACACACACACACGCGCGCGCCGTATAATTATTTTCATAATCAAGCAAATATATTACTTGAATAAACTAATAAAAATCGTTTAAGAAGGGGATATTCTTATATTATCTGTTATTAATTTTCAACAGCATAATATTAATTAGTATAGATTATTTTCATTATATACTTAATAGATGTCCTATTATCTTTAATACCTACTATCAGTATGAAATATCTAGAATACATATGTATAGGAAAATGTAATAACTTTAAATTTTATATTATAATTGTGTTACTTTTTTATAATTTACATACCTATTTGTAATTTCTTGCGTAAGTTTCTCATACTTATTATATTACACACAAAATTATATCAATCTCAAAGACTATTTTACAACATATGTGTATGTGTGTGTGTGTGTGTGTGTGTGTGTGTGTGTGTATATGTGTTAAAAAATTCCAATTTTAAAATAATGCAAACAAACAATCCATTGTCTGATACAAGAATTTAGAAAATTTACAAGGCTAGTATTCAGTCCGTACTTATTTTAAGACCGTCTTAAGTAATGTCTTAAGATGCTAATAACAGCCCTCTAATTAGCTTATTACATATTAAGACTATACTTAAGACAGTCTCTTCTTCTTTTTTGTTAGGTCTCTGGCCTGTGTTACACCTCTCATATACTTATGGTGCGCACGCTGATTATTCCACAAACATATGGAATCTACAGTCGGGAGGTTGCTAGCCTTTTCCGAAAAGAAATACGAGCGTAAATATTTTGATTCCTACCCGGAGCGAATCCGAGACTTGTCATGATAGATCAGTACACTTTTTGCTATGTTATGCTTGTACTCGCGAGATTAAGATAGATTCAAATATAAGAATTGACTGTGAATGGCCACAGAGCCATATTAGCGTCTTAAGACATTATTTAAGACAATTTTAAAATAAAAACCATTTATGAATACCGACCGAAATAGTTATATTATATAGTTGTAATATGTTATAACATATCAATAACATTGAGCATATAATAAAAAAAAAACAATATAGTTTTTCAAAAAAGCAATATACCAATAATTATTATCGCTTCGGCAATTTCTGCAATTTATAATGAAATTTTACAGAACGTATTCATTACATAACAATTATCAATAATCAATGTGACATTTGCTCCTCAAAACTTTTTTACAATTCTATTCGAAAATTTTTTAATTTATTTACGATTATTACCTATGATGAATCAATTATTTTCTTAAACTAAAAAATGAATAAAAACTTATTGTTACACATATCGTGTGAACAAAAGCAAATTACATAGATTTCTGACAAATTATTGTGCAAACATAATATTATTCTATATTTATGCTGTGGTCTTAATATATATATATTTTTTATCATCTACATTTAATATTACAAACACAAGCTTACTTTTACATCTTAATTTTACAACAAATTAGTCCTTTCTGCATTTAATGCAAAAATTCTACAGCACAGCTTTATATATATATAGCTAATCTGTTCTGTTATTTGAAAAATAGTGTGAAGTCCTATTGTGAATGCTATTGTGATACCTATATTTAATACTTAACGAACGTTATTCTTAACAATATAAGTTAAAATATAGCAACGAAAGCTTTGCGAATTTGACCGAAGACCGCCCGATCGTTGCAGTCTCTCCAATTTTCATCTAATGTAAGAAATATAAAGTGCAAATTACCTTGAAAACTTCAGCATGCTGAAGAATAAGTTTGTGATAAAATATATGTCCATAGATATTCGACGATTTACACTCTTTTTCTTTCAATCAATTTAAATTCCCTGTAGCTGTAAATAGATACGCATTGCACACATGACGAAGATACATTTCTCAGATAAAAACGGGACCGAATGTACAGTGGTGATTGTTTGCTACAGGCACAATTAGTTCAACATAATACCATCATCGTCTATATCCATGACACTAATTGGATCCAAGGATGGCATATCGGCACTCTTGCGTATCTCACGTGATATGTTCTCCAATGTTTCCATTTCCATTCCGACATCCTCTACTAAAGTCTTTGTAATAATCTCTTCTCGCTGCTGAACTTCAGCAGCAGCAAGATCAAATACTTCCTTCAATATCTCGGTTGCCGCATCCGCAGAGCTATTATCCGGGACATACGTTGAATCTTCCTGTACTTCGTACTTATTATTCATTGCATTACTCTCGACTACCAACTCTTCGAGCTCCTTTAGCTCTTCTTCTAATTTCCTGTGTTTATCTGTTTGGACTGTGTCTTCTATCTCTTTTTTCGTTCCGTCATCGCTGTTTATTGTAATATCTTCAACGTCTTCCATCACTTCGTCGTGTGTTTCGCCATTTAGAAGATCTGGCATATCTCTTACACTATTAGGTTCATCAATATCTGCAATAATTTCGACTTCTGTATTTTCTTCATTGGACTTTTGTTGTTGTTGCAATTGTTCGATCTCTTCATCTATAGCTATTATGTCATCTAAATCATTTTTTTCATTTAATGTTTCTGTTTCATCAATCGGCAAAATTTCTGGAAGATTTTCTTCTGACTCTTCTATATGTATCTTCGAAGATTCATCTATTAAATCGCTTTGTATTTCTGGTTTTTCTATTATTTCTCTATCATCATCTATGAAGTTATTTTCTAAGTTATTTTCGAAATTTTCGTCTTGATCCTTGTTATCTTTTGTTCTGTTATTTGATAAAATTGATAAGCTAGTCATTTCATTATCGCTCGTTACTTCCTCATTATCTTTATTACATTCATTAATAATATTTTCTTTTTCCGTGGAAGAAACTTCCGTGTCATTTTTTATTTCTACATTTTTGTCTTCTTCTTCATTTTCATTCTCCATGTTCTTATGATCTTCCAATATAACAATAGTAGCCTCCTGTGCGTCATTGTCTTCAAATTTGTCATTATCTCTGTCTGATGTCTTATCCTCTTTCTTCGTTGTATATTCATCCTTTACATTTTTATTCGATTTACCTTCATCATCCTCTATTACTCTATTATCCGGGATAACTGAATTTTCACATTTTTCAGATTTTGTTTTTTCATCATTTATAGATTCTTCTAAGCGCGATTCATTCATCGCTATGTCCGGTTTTTCGTCTGTGTCACTTTCGACACTTTTCTTTTCCTCCATTTTTTCCTTTGCATTTTTTGTATCACCTAAACTGCAAGGCTCGTCATTAGTATTGTCTTCGATATTGACAATGGCGTCCTCCGAATCATCAGTACATTTGTCGACGGATGTTCTATCGGAACGTGACATCGTTTCTTCGGAAATCTCATCTTGTGAAATGAGATCTGTTTCCTGTTTCACTTTAATATTCGCAACAGTTATTTTTTCTAGTTTTAATGCAGCTTGCTTGAGATGTGTCAATTTATGTTTCGCACTGGCCAATTTAGAGTCAAATTTCTTATTACATTTGTCGCAAGTGTATTCAGTTTTAACTTCTGACTGTGACAGAGATTTCGGGCTTTTAAATTCCGTCGATGTCATTTCTGTGCTGGACATAGAAGATGATCTTGTCCTACTGCGGATATTGCTTTCTTGTTCTTTTTTTGTAGGTGCAGTCGATGAACTCGTAGCTTTTAGTCTATTTTTTAAACTCTTATCTTCTTCAATGGATATCTCGTCGCTAGAGTCAGAACGCGCACTTGAAGTTGTCCCTTTAATTTTCTGTTTTTTCTTTGTATTATTTACACTCTCATTTAATTTAATTTTATCTGTCTCTTTTTGTTTTTGAGAATCTTCAGAATCAGAACTCCTATTATCCATTATTCTTTTACGTCCCCGCGTTTTCGTCAAATGTGCGTTGGACTGTTGTTCTGCATCAACTGAAATTTTTTGCTTCTGAGGACTGTCAGAATCTGAACTCCTATTATCTATTAGTCTTTTACGTCCTCGCTTTTTCGTCTGTTGAGTACTGGACTGTTGCTCTGCATCAACAGACGCTTTTTGCTTTTGAGAACTTTCAGAATCCGAACTCCTATTATCTATTCTTTTACGTCCTCGCGTTTTCATCAACTGAGTACTGAGCTGTTGTTCTGTATCAATTGTCATTTTTGGTGATTTCTCCTCGTTCGTATTCGTGTGTTCACTGACTCTTGTCACTTTCGATGGTGTACGTTCGACATCACTTCTCGACCTCACTATGCCACCAATTTTTCGTTTCTTTCCTCGTCTTGCTTTACCATTAACTATATGATTCCTCATTTTAGGTGAGATACTCAAAGAACTACTTTCTTCGGAATATTTTGCTTCTTCCTGAGAATTAACGAACGATGCATTATCATCCTTATCTTTTTCCTTTTCGTGTGCCTTATCTTTTTCTGTATTGTGTATCTCATTTTTCTCCATTTCGCATGCTTTGTCTTTCATCGTCTCGCGTGTTTTGTCTTTTTCCGTTTCGCGTATTTTGTCTTTTTTCGGCTCGCATGTTTCGTGTTTCTCTGTTTCGTGTGTTTCGCCTTTCTCCGTCTCGCATGTTTTGTTTTTCTCTATTTCATGTGTTTCATCTTTCTCCTCTTTCTTAAGTGATTGGCTCAATACATCTTTCAAAAAAACCGCGCATAATTTCGTTTCTGTTTTGAATTGATTCTGGCGAGATCGTCGCTGTGACTTAGCAATACTCGGATCCATCGTTATCCAACAATTTTTGCAAACCGTTAGACCCGTGTGATAAAATCTGTACATGTCGATATCGTTTGCAACAGTATTATGACACTTGTCGCAACTCCTGACTTTCGATTTGTTGTTTCGTGGTTTCATTTGTATGTTACTCCGTGCCTTACGTCCTTTAATGTGCCGCTTACCACGTGCCATGTCCTCGTTACTATCGCTATCAGAATTTATTGAACCATAAAATGTAATATCTGGAAACGTGGTAATGGTCGTTTTGCGATTTACAACATCTGTGTGTATCTGCAATAAAATAATTATAAATATTAATATAAATGAATATTAATATAATTGAAAATAAACAAATCAACGCAAAATATACACATAACAAGAAATAAGAATATATAGGTACATGAAATATATAGATACAATAAAAGTGACTTATTTTTCTTTTATATTACTTATCTTGCAGTCTGTTATCACTAACCATTTTTTATCTCAAAATCCAAATTTTACTTTTATTACAAATAACACAAATATGTTTTAACATTTTTAACTGCTATTCTGAAAGAACACAGAACCTCATCAGTTAGAGATGGAGAAGGGATTAAGATTTAAAATGGCCAATGATAACAGGTTGCAGAGCTAATATGAGAGGAAAAAATTAGCCTATTATGTTAATCCTAACTATATACACTGGAGCAGAAACCCTAGAGTAATTTGCTAAATCAAGATTTTTTTCGTGCTTCCGAACTGAACTTTTACTTTGAACCTACACATCTCGAAGTTCCTTAATTCTATTAACTTTTATATTATGGACTTTTATATTATGGACTTATTTTTTAATCAATTCTCCATAGATTGAAAAAAAAAATTGATTGAAATGTCCATTTTTACGAAAATTATAGTAACAAATATAGATGGAGTCCCAAATATGTATATCAAGGAAAAAAGTGTATAATTAGAGTTAAGGCTTTTTTCATCTCAGTTAAGACAATAAACTATTAACTGAGATGAAAAAAGCCTTAACTCTAATTATACACTTTTTTCCTTGATATACATATTTGGGACTCCATCTATATTTGTTACTATAATTTTCGTAAAAATGGACATTTCAATCAATTTTTTTTTTCAATCTATGGAGAATTGATTAAAAAATAAGTCCATAATATAAAAGTCCATAATATAAAAGTTAATAGAATTAAGGAACTTCGAGATGTGTAGGTTCAAAGTAAAAGTTCAGTTCGGAAGCACAAAAAAAATCTTGATTGACACTCTCTATTTTCTCTCCTCTTTCTCTAATAAAATTCTACTTCTACCAGTGTAGATTAATTTTAACTTTCTGAATGTCTTCTTCTGATTCTTAGGATTAAAAAAAGGTAAAAAATAAATAAATCGAGAATAATTTACATTGATAGAAATAGGACATAACTGTTGGCATTGCGGCAAGCTAACTATTAGTTACCTTAACTGGAGATTAGTACAAGAGGCCCTTATGTTAATTTTTATCAATATAAATTAAGTCTTCTTCTTCTATAGATTAAGATTTAATCTTGGTTTAATTTACTCTTTATCCTTTTCTAATTCTTAGAACAAGAAAAAGATGAAAAAAAAGTTAAACTACGACTAAAGTTAAATCTACAAATAGAAACAATTATTGTCTGACTATGTATATAATTCATTAAAATTCGCAATAATTTATTACCTTTGGATAATTTGAATAGTTTATCTCTTCATTAATCAGAGCCTTTAAATTGTTGAATGAATCTTGATATATCCTTTTTAGATCATATAAAACATCCAAGTTATATCGACATGTTAGGCATATTAACCACGAATTGTTTTTCTTGTTAATCTGCAAGAACAGAATATTTAAAATGTATACAACTAACAACTAGTTACATTATTTTCTTGTGATAAAGAGGAGCAATTTAAACTTACATCATCGTTGAAAATGCTGCGGATCTTCCGTAAAGGATTAAATACACTCTTGTCCTTGCTAATGTCGAAGATACGGTTACTTTCTACTAATTCGTAGCACAGGAAGCAACATCGCATTGATGTTTCAATTTTCGGCTCCGGCACCTTGTGCGAGTTCCTATACCTTTGTACAAACTTAGTGCACTGATCTAATTCATACGCGCATTTGTAACATATCTTGTTCGACAAATCGATGCTCTCGTTAATCTAAGACAATAGAACAGGTTATAAATTTGAGAGACAATTATTCTGAAATTGGCCAATTATCATTCTTAATTTTAAATCATCTTTCTTTCGTTACGAATGAAAGAAAACAAAAATCTGAATCGTTCTATGATACACACATGTTCGAAACTTTTATCAACAAATGAACCAATAGTCGGATGATTTAATAAGATTCAAGTAAATGCAATAAAAATGACACAACACGATAATATCCAGTTGTACAGTTATCCAAAAATATTCGAGTCAAATTTGTCCGAAAATTTGCGACATAAATAAATATAAATACAGAATTGCGAGTCGGCCAGGAGATCAAACTGAGTAAAGAACTTCATCATACACTATGTACATATTTTTATATACATACACACATAACGCATACACATTACGCACGTACGTTCCGCAAAATGTCGGTAAAACGAAATACGAGATGGATACTAGATGGACACGCTCCACGTTATCTCTCTCTTTTTTTTTTTGCAAAGAAAGTATTGTTTATTCGGCTTGTCGAATAAAAAAAAATCAAAACGCATGAAAGTCATATGGCCCGTCACGCAATCACTTGCAACCCCGCCATCCCTCGCGATATTCCGACTTCCGACCAAAACTTCGGAACTATTTGTTACGGCGTAGTAGACAGACCGTCTCTCACTCTCTCTTCCCCTTTGTTTCCTGTTTCGACGAGCGCAGATTACGGGTCCCGCTCACAGATGGCGCGACGTGTTGCTTCCCGATGGCACGCGTAATTAAGTTAATCATGATGCGCGAAACGCGTTTCGCTAAATTGAAAAAAAAAAAATGATCCGAAGGCATCAATTTCCTTGATTATATTTGCACGGAAAAAAAGCTACATTCATCGCCGCAACTCCGGACGAGTTTTGACAAAAAGTCTCAAGTCCGAATTTAACCTATAAACCGGTATGATTCTAACCTAAATTCGGAGCAGTAATCTCCCGATGGAAATCTTTCGATCGCGATCACCTCTCGCGTACCGAAATTCTAACGAATATTTTTCTTTCTCGATAAAATCGCCCATGATTTGACCTTTTTCAGGACGGGGGGAGCGAACAACCATCTATGTAGGTTTGTTCTTCTCTATAGCGTTTCTTGCATTTTTTAATTGTGAATAGAATTGGTTTTTCTATTTATTTCCAAATATCGATGTAAAAGTTGATGGTTGAGCATAAGAAGGTACATATCGTTAAAAGAGGCGAATGAAGCGCATATATGTGAGACACAGATTTCAAGGATCGATCCCAATTCGCGCGAATATTCGAGGAGTCGAATAACGCGAACAGTTCCTCAAATCGGGGGGGAAAAAGGTGTCTTGCGCAGCGCTGTTGATTTACCGATCCTACCTTGGTGGACAAACACGTTCTGATCTGGTCACCAAACGTACTACGATTATCAGGAGTGACGTCCAGGAAGACACCCTCGTTGCTTGCACACACAAAGCAGTAGTGGTCAGGCATTGCGACGCGTGAGAGGGGGATACGTAATCAGGGTAGCATCACCTCGAATCGCCGGTCAGGACGAGATACGATCCAACGCGATCGTAAGATTCTTCACTGTACACAGTTCAATGGCGGTCCGCTGTTTTCGCTAGGCTCGCTAGGCTCGCTTGCGTTACTTCTTACTAGAGCGACGCGTGCGAATTTCTAATTCTTACCTAATCTTACCGCGGTTGTACCACACCACGAGTAGAGAATTGGCGGTAATCGTCTACGCTACGCGTGATAGAACATGGCGGCCTGACGCCATCGATTATGTGACTGTGCGATAAATCGAGCGATATATCGAAAGTGTAAACCCTTTGATTCATCCCATTCTCGTTTCTTCCGAGATGGAATTTCTCCTTTTTGACGGAGCTTGGGATATTCATAACATTTCAAAACGTCCTCTATGAAGAAAATTTTACTTAAAATATATAATAACTGTAACATGTATTATAGTATATACAGTAAATTCTTCCTCGGAGAGGACATTTTGGAATGTAATTTTGCTAGAATTGATCGTCAGTGATTATCGACCTGCACAAAGCTGAACAAATTGGTGATTCAATCGTGAGATTGAAGAGCATCGCAATCTGCGCAATTCGATATATCGATTGTTTGATACGTACATATGTTTTTTGAATTTAAATTTGAGTTTAAGCTCACTCAGTTTCTAATCTGAATTCTGCTACGAATTATGGATTGTCTGAGAATGAGTATTGTGAGTAGAATGAGTATACGTGATCGACGTTAAACAGCACGATGCTGTACTTTACAACATAAATTGTGCCTATCTAAGGGAGATATAAAAACGAAAACGAAATTTATTTGAATAACAACATAAAATAACTATTGTTACAAAGATAACAAAGATATCTCGCATTCAAACGCTAACTGGACGACTCATTTATTTGTCATTGGCTGCGTTCAGCAGAAAAAGCAATTTTACAATTGCTGTAAGATTCTTTAAAGATTAGTTTATACATTTAGATTATTCTGTTCATCCATTTAGTTATTCATCTGTTCTTATTTCAAAACCATCTTAAGTAATATTTTATGCTAATATTAATACGGCTCTGTAATTGGTGATTCACATCTTGATACTGGACTTTAGATAGTCTTGTATATAAATAGAAGAACTGATTATGAATACCGGTCTCAAATGCAGTAGAGAAATTAAAGGCAAAAATCAATCATTAAAGAATTATTGTGCTCACTAATTAGTTTTCTCTGCTATACGCAACCATTTATTTTACGACATTTTATCACGCCTGTCACTTATCATCGAGACGATTGTGTTATTATGTGTTGTTCAATTAATTATATTTTTATATTGCAATGACCGCGTTCAGCAGAATTATGCATTTATTTTGCAATTGTTGAAAATTTTCTTCATTAAGATAGGATTATTTTTCTAAATGTAAAAGAATAATTTAATCTGCGTCAAATGTTAATTACTAAGCACTAACTTCTTCTGAACGCGGCGAATGTTTTATAGCTGAAATCCGTTTTAGACGACTTCTAATTCGCGCCTAATTTCAGGACAGAATTCTACGAGATAAAATTTCGTCCTGAATTCTTACATGAGTTACAAACTGTAATGAAAAAACAAATTGTCTAAAATAGATTTGTTTTGGTATGAATAAACACGGAGTGCGAAATCATGGCTTGAAACATCACAATGCACGCCACGAAAGCCTGAGTGCGAATCACGTCTCATCATGTCTTCAGCTAGACACTTTTCGGATTCCCTGTGCGGTCTCGTTTGTAATCGACAAGTCCTCTATTCGATCCTTCGGTTCGCCAAACAGAAGCTTGAGAGTTTCTAATGCTGACGTGAATATACTCCTATAACGTAAAAAATAAATCATCGGGAATAATTGTCAATTGTATTATACTGATTTATCTTTAAAAAATTGATTGTCCTGACAGCATAAACATTGTTATAAACATCATAAGTTTTTTTTATGTAAAGCCCATTCTACAATTGCATAAGCGTGGTTGTAAGAATTGATCAATCAGATACAATTCTTACAACTACAATTACTTATAATTACGTTTACGAAATTGTAGATTAGGGGCTTAAGATGATTTTCAATACCTAATATAACTTTTTACATGCAGTATAGTTTTAATAATATAATTGCAAAAAATACGTACATAATTGATTATCACTCGATCTTTATAACAATTACACTGTCTTTATATTAGAACCATGTTCTAATATTATTGCCAATTGACTGTCAATAAAACTTGACTGAAAATCTATTGGTAGTTTCCGTTATGTATATTATATTGTACTGACAACTGGCAAGTAATATACGAACACAGTTTAGGTTGATGGAAAAGTAATTAAAATTAAATTAAAATAATTTTACTGAGCGAATTTTAATCTCCAATTTAATCAATTAATTTAATTAATTTAAAGTTAATTCGCAATCGTCTATCTCCAATGTATAGGCTTGTTGTATACAAGACTCATGATGCTATGTATCCAAGGATCAAGATGCAGAGACATTAATTATAATTCGAATAAAAGGAGCTCCAGCGAGCATCTCGACAGCTGGGCCATTACCTGACGCTGTTCTTCATGTTCCCGTAGATTTCGCCGGGTGGTAGCTTCACGGAAGGTACCGTCTCCTCCACGAAGTCCAGTCCGACGCACACCGCGTTGTCGACGATCTTGAGTGGCATTTCCAGAAGACTGGCGATGCTGCTGGTGACGGGGCTGGCGAACTTCAAGCCCGCGCGCATCCCGTTCTCTGCGTGGCCTAGTATCGTAGCGACCGACTCGTGGGAACCTCGCACGGCTTTGTACGCGCCGCAGAACGTCGAAGTCACCGTGGCGAACACCGGCAAACCCAGCAGACGACGTGTGCACATCATGCCACGAACGTCCGCGTCGCCGGAATTCGCGGGTGCGATGCTCGGTATGGTGGGATCGTGTATGCCGCACATGACGTTCAATTGCTGTGGGATAAAACGACACGAAAGATATGAGAAGGTGTTACATAGTGTGTTGCATAGACAGAATTAACTCTGGAATAGTCACCTAGTTCTTTTTGCGTAAACGATTACCCGGAGTGTTTTTCCATCCCAATCAAATTCACGATTACTTATTATATGTTACTGTTCTATAATTTATTAATATTTGAAATTTATTCCTTTCTAAAAAAAAAAAAATAAAGAGAAATAAGAAAAACTATACGTATAAATTCTCGATCAGTATTCAAACAACAGTATAATTATATTCAAGATTAGTTAATAAATGTTAGAAGTAAATGTGAGCTGTAATATAAACCGACAAATAAACGTTTAAAATTTGATACGTTTCTTAAACTATTTAATAAATTTATAAAAACGTTTATAAGAAATTTATGATGATATCTATTAAACGTTCTCTTACTATATATAGTTCAAAATACCATTTTTATGCGAGATATTTCGATGGGAAGTTTAATTTATTTATTTAATATTTTTATGTACTGTAAAAAATATTTCAACTAAACATTTTTTTTAATATAAATTATCTGCTTAGATAAAGAAAACTACTGCGACTGATTTTTATTTTCTCGCTGCTTGGAATGTAAGAATCACACAGATGAGAGAGAGATTATTCCTTAAGTCTTATTATCTCAGAAATAGTTTACAATTCTGGTGTTATATTTAAGATAAAATTTTACATATAATT